TAGAAGCAGCTGCTGATCTTGATTCTTTGAAAGAGAAATTGGTAGAATCACGTGAAAAGTCCTGTCAAGAAGCGCTTAAAGTGGGCAAGAATCAATGTGAAACATGGGGATTGACCATTGAAAGAAGAAAAATACGTCATAAACGAATGCCAGGTGAAAATGCAGCTGACGCTGGATTGACTGCTGAACATGAAATTTATCGCATCATGAAGGATGTTATTCATCGCTTGATTACAGAAATAACAGGAAGATTTTCTTACTTACTAGATTTAGATTCACGGTTTGGATGTCTACTAGAAATATTGTTTCTGGAGATTTCGAAGACGGAAAACTGCAAGAAAAATGTTCTGACTTAGCAAAGAGCTATCCAGGTGATATTGATGGACCAGAATTGTACAGAGAAATTAAAGACTGTAAGATGTTGATAAGTAAAAGAACACAGACCGACTTTCCTGAACCAATGGTTGCAACTGATTTGCTAACATTTATAATTTCATATGGTGAAGATGTTTTCCCAAACTTAAGGATTGCTTTGCAGATTTTGTTAACAATTGGGGTTTCTATTTCTAGTCGTGAAAGGTCCTTCAGCAAGCTGAAATTAATTCTTAGTTACTTGAGAACCTCAATGACTCAAGAACGACTTAGTAACTTGGCAATGTTAAGTATTGAAAAAGACGTACTTGATACCTTACATTTTGATAGTTTAATTAATGCATTTGCAGCAGCAAAAGCACGAAAGGTTCATATAATGTAACCATGAATACCAGAATGCTACCTGTACAAGATCTAGTTAAGTATATGTACAGTTTTGTAAACTAATAAAATTTGTTATTTGTAAACTTTAAGTAGTATTTTATCAATGTGTTTTATAATCCATGTACACCACAAGTGACTGGCTTCTCATATAAAACATAAGTTTCAACACTAGGGATATAACAGAAATTTATTCTGCATGCTTGAAAGATTACTCTAGCTATGTGACTTTGAACAATACTAGATGACATAAATATCAAAATGGTTTACAAATTATTTAAGTACATCTAGTAGGCTATACTTCATTAGTTCCAGGTTTACAGTTGTGATATCTTGAAATTATATATTGTGACTTTATTTTAGCCTGTGTAAGATAATTAATTCTTTATGTTATTGTCATTAAGTGGGTAATGAGTCACAAAAAAATATAATCAAAACATTTCAGAGGTAGGGCGCCAAATGTGTCTTTGCCCCCGGGTGCTGAAAACACTTGCTACGCCACTGTAGAGAGAGAGAGAGAGAGAAAGAAAGAGCTAAAGATCCATACACGTAATCTCTCTTTAGAGCATAGACGCACTTGCCCTTGTTTTGTTTTAGAATATTATGTTTATTTGTCAGTTTTTTCGGGGTTTTAAAAATGAAGGTTGTTGTAGCGCACATTCTGCGTTTCAAAGCTTTTTCCAGGAATTCAGAGAGATAAACAGACACATACTCTGTAACTTGATGTTATTTGAGCCTCCAGTTATCGAGCCTTACTCTAGCTTGCTCTGTGGTAAATCCATACCTCAGGTGATATCACACTAGTATGCAAAAAAGGCAGTTTTAGTGATTTGTTTTCGTGTAAAAGTGACAATATTCAGTGTGAAGACAAAAACAACATGAACACTTTATTGGTGCAATTTTAGATGAAGATATGAGCTGGTCGTAAAAGTGTCAGGACTACTGAATTAGAATAGAAGCAAGCCTTACTTACTGAAAATAAAATTTAATTGAATAAAGATAAAAACTGTGTTTCTTTCTAAATTAAAATTGATTTAATGAAGTAAAAAAATAAAGGATGGTCTATACAGTTGGCAAGATGAATACTAACGCCAGACAAAAAAAAACGCAACCAAAACTGGGATGATTGAAAAGTTACAATCTAAGCTACGAACATTAGTTACATTACAATTATTATATATTTAGATCTATTAATTTTTTTAAATGAGGATTTTTTAGCATGTTTAAATTTATTGCATTAGGTTCTTCCAAACTTGGCAAACATTTTTTTGTACTTTTATATATCTATGAATCACATTTATTTCATAAATATGCCCAGCAAAGTGTTTACCAGGAACATCCTTATATATATGTAAGACTCTGTGTAATATGTAATTAATTGCCATCCAAGCACTTTATTCTTTCATATACTGGTACAGATATGTTTATGACACTTTTACTGGTTTCACTTCTACCGAACACATACATACTTTCTTTGAACACTTAAACTCCTTTCGCCCTGACATTATATTCACCATTGAACAGGAAAATAACAAGTAGTTATCTTTTCTTAACTTCGAAATTAATAGCTTTGACACTGTGCAAAACAAAAATTTACCGAAAATTCATTCACACAAGCCTTTACATGCCCTGGAATTTGGCCCATGAATCCAAACAAAAAATTAATATACTATAAAACCTTATAAACACAGTTTCAAGACTTTGCTCAACTGACTAAGTTGAAGAAGAAATCAACTTTATAAAGCAATCCTACATTCACACCAACAAATTTCCACCAACTGTTGTCGAAAATTTTTCAAACAATCTTCAGAAGAAAAAACACTTCAAAACTCAAATCACAAACAAAAACTGATAATAATGCACAAACAACATAATATTACACTGTAATTTACCATGCATCCTTGAAATGAGTTCAAAGATAATTTACAGTTGGAGAAAACTAAGTTTCCATTAAATATAAAATTCTTGTCGATTTCAAATTCACCCCAAAACCCAGACCTAAACTACAAAACTACTAAATTACAAAAAAAATATATATATATATATATATATATATATATAGAATCACACAATACCAACGTCATCTATAAAACAATGTGCAATAACTGTCCAGAATTGTAAATCGGAAGATAATTGGAAATCAGATTCACCGAACATAATAAAAATCCTCCCACGTTTACCACCATTACAACTCCAAAAATCACTGTATATCTATACAAAACACCGTAATTTTAAACAAAGAACCACACATCAAGAAGAGCAAAATAAGAGAAGCTATTTTAATCGAACAATATCGCCCTAACGTAAACAAATACCCCGTGGTACCAAGATACCTTTATCAAGCTGTTAAGCAATCTTCAGTCATGTGACTTCTTTGTTCCATACTCTCTCTACATATTCCTGTTTGTGTAAACTACTTCTTTCTCACTTCTAATGTCAAAGCCTGGATGTTTGATACTTTTACCTCCTTAACAAGAGCGGCCTTGCTTTGCGTGCCTTACCTCGACGTCATAACCTCTGCAATCATATTAATAATCCTCCAATGTTTATTTTAATCGTTAGGCCTCTAAACTAAAAACAAATATATGTGTTCATATATGTAAATATATTTTATTTTGCATAATTGTAACATTGGTTTCATAAAAATCTCCCATGAGTGGGGCGAAGGGGAATACTAAATATCCCTGAACACCCTAGTTGAGGAAAGTTTCTTTCCCTTTAAAATTAAATATCTGCCACGAATAAAATAAAATAAAATACTACTTTGTACCTGATGATGACATAAGCTTGTAGAAATGTACATTTGTAATAAAGTTTCTTTCACTACCCATTCAAGCCGCCTCCAAACTTTATTAGCTGGAGATTGGTTTCATTAATGCCTCCTTTAAAAAGTGTGCAAACATTTATTCTATTAACAATAAATTCAGTAGATTGTATGGAAATTATATTAAAAAGTAGCCCTTCTGGCCACAAATATTGACAATACAGAAATGCCATGATTTCTAAAGTAGCTATATAATAGATCCACAACTGCGCAAATTCCACTGCATTAAAATTATGTTGCATTTATAGAAAACATGCATTAAAAACACTTCTACTAGTTCACTGAAAATGTTGTAAATGAACAAGGAAAATGTTTGACAAGTACTGTATACATTTTTTGTTGATTGAGGAAAATATTTTGAAAAAGTCTTATCTAACGACAGGAGAGGGCGAATACTCATTTAAGCGCTGTGCATGTTAGTTCTTGTAGGTTCGAATTGTTAGTGTTAGATATTAAGCTTAATTTATGGGAATTAGAATAGCGTTAGTGAAATAACTAATTTAGCGATAAGCCCCTTCAATAAAATTTTTATGTATATATATTTGCTACCTAAAACTTAATATATTCGTTAAGTGGATATGGCTTCTACTAAGTTGCTCAATGATCGGTTGGCCCTTGTTACTGGAGGAGGTAGTGGAATTGGCAGAGCAGTGTGCCAAGCTCTTGCTCGTGAAGGGGCAAAAATTGTAGTAGCTGACATAAACGAAAATGCAGCAAGATCAACTTTACAGTCACTTCCTCAAGGTCAGTTTTGTGCATACATCTAAGAACATAAAGATAATAATTTATAAAAATTATTTATAATTTTAACGTTCATCAAAATTTTGATTTTCGGACTCCCATCACTCTGCTAGTGCTAGGTTTGTAGACTACTACTACTAGTTGTAACTTGTAGTTGTACTTGTTCACTCTGTCGTATAAAACTAAGTATAATGTAAATACAGGCCTCCCAGCGGCCCTTAAAAACCAGTAAAACCTGTTTTTCACAAGTTTAACTGTTAAAACTTGTATAATTGTTCAAAGTTTAGTGCTTCAGCCTATAAAAAATGTACTGAGGTGATCGAGTAATTAAATAATATTTTTAATGCTCCCCATCCTCCAGTATTTGTTGTTTTCCTAGCCCTAGGTAGTTGTCAATTATCCTAAATGGTTGCATAAATCAGTAAGGAAAGATCTCAAAGACATTTCTCATAATATCTCTTAATATGAGCATTACCCTCACCCCCCACTTTTGCACTTAACGCAGATACTGAGATAGCCCTCGTGAATCATTGCGCGAAATTCAAAACAAACCAATCAAACAAATATTCTTGCACCTATGCCTTTGTAAAATGTGCTTTTTGGAAAGGGAGGGGAATGGAGAAAATCATTTTGGGAATCAATAGTAATTTAGTATACAAATTATAAAACAAATATATATTTACATATATATATATATATATATATATAAGTTGTAGTTATGTGTACTAAGCCTAAGGATTATTTTAAAATACTGTCAAAGTAACTTATTAAAAACAGAATGATCAAATTGTTTGTAGCCTAGCTACAGCTAGGTAAAGACACTTTGAAGATCATATTATATACTGTTGTACACAAGTGTTTGTGGACTTTGACAATATTTCACTATCTGCATATAATGAATCAACATATGTTATACTAACATTTAAAAACTTTTAGTATATTGATAACTGACATTTTTGTAAGTTGTGCATAAATCACTAATGAGAGATTGATAATTCAAATAACATATGTTTGATGATAAGTTAAATGCTAATCTAAAAGGAACTCTTCTTATTGCACAAACTGCAATTCACATGATTTAATGCTGTTCATTTTTCTCATTTTATCAAGAATGGAAATATATGTATTGCTTAATATTAAAAATCTCTTTACTTTATTGAATTTTAGGGGAAGAAAATTCATATATCATGGAGATAGTGGATGTAAGCCAGTCTCAAAGTGTGAATAATTTATTTACATCCATCAACCAGAGGCTTTGTCAAGTACCTGACATTGTTGTAAATAGTGCAGGAATTACTCATGATGGATTAATGAATGAAATGACAGAGCAAATGTTTGATGATGTGTTAAATGTTAATCTAAAAGGTACCTTTCTCATCACACAAGCTGCTTGTCGATTGATGATTGCACACAAAATAAAGATTGGTTCAATAATCAACATTTCCAGCATCATTGGAAAAGTTGGAAACATTGGCCAGTGTAATTATGCAGCATCCAAAGCTGGTGTTGTTGGGTTAACTAAGAGTGTTGCAAAAGAGATGGCCAAATATGGAATTAGGTGCAATGCCATAATGCCAGGCTTTATTGATACTCCCATGGTTGTGACTGTTCCAGAAAAGGTAATGACTCACTTCAAAAAGTTGACACCAATGGGAAAATTTGGAAAACCCGATGATGTTGCAGAAGCTTCTTTATTTTTAGCATCTAGCAAAAGTAACTACATAACAGGCGAGGTAATAGAAGTCACTGGGGGCCTTTTCATGTAGCAAAAGTTTCAGTATGGTAATCACGTGCATGTAATAATCTGATTATGTAGCTTCAATATTTTTTTCCCATGCAATCCCACAGTTCCTGAAAGATACATTATTATGAATGTAGAAACTACCTGTCTACAGTGTTTGTAAAATAATCTGTAAGATAGCACTTTACATAAAGATGTACTAGATGATCCGAAACTTAAGCATTTTAGAATGTAATTAAAAAAAACTTTTGTTTCACTTGTTAAAGTTTCAACATGAAACTTTTACCATCTGCCAGTAAAATATGAGATTAAAAATAATGTTATCTTGTAATATGCAATAAAACAGTATTGTGAGCTGTGACTAAAACTTACATTTTTCACTAATCTGTTTATAGGACCATTATATCTCGTGCAGTAATTAGTGTTTGAATATATATATATATGAAGTGTTTTAATATAAATTGCATGTATATATTTTTTTAATAACCAGAATTGCACATACAGTTTACATGCATCACTTTTATACTATGTTTGTGAATACTGAACATACAGCTTTTATGTCTATCATTATAGGATAGTATAATATGTTATTTTTATCCCTTTATATCTGTCTATCTTGGTATTGGTACATTAAAGTATTCTGAAAATCTTGGGGACACATTGTCCTTCTTCTGTGGAAAATAAAATATTATTCAAATGAAATGTCCATACTTCCACTTCCTGTCTGATTTTCATGTTTAAGTTTTACCTATTTTATAATTTGATTTCTCTTTAAAATATAACTATGAATCAGAATTGTAACATATGTGTCACATATGTTCCCATGGTTTCTACATGAATTGTACATTTATCAATAAAGTAAACTTTTCTTTAAGTTGCTAGAAATATTACTTTTTTCTTCCTTGAATAATGGAAACTGACTTTGTACTTTTTTAAATGTTTTTTCTAAAATATTAAATTTGGTTTACTTTATCTCAGTAGTGGATACAGAGGGTTGAGTATATTATATTAAAACAATCTGGAGCTTCACTATGTTGTTACATTCTATGTTGCCATGTCCAATCTTATTCAATCTCATAGTTATGCATTTTTCTAATAGCCCTGCAGCATAGTTTTCATTGCAAAAGACACTATAATATGGCTGTCATGTTCAAAGCATACTACTGCTCCCTGCTAACTATCCATAATTCATTTAATGTACAAGGACTGTGGTTTCCCAGTGCCCATTTCAACAGACTGATTGCACAGGAAGCCATACACACTGCATCCGATAGCTTGAATGGTATGTCTTCATATGGAATAGCACAAATATATTTCATTCTCCAGTTGCTTGAGGTTTATGATGGTTAAACAAGGGGTATGAATGGAAATTTTCCTTAATTAACCTGTATCCTCTTGGCCTTGTTACCATACAAAGCCACTATTTTTGTGTGGCACAAAGGGTCCAGAACATTGAAAGAAAGTAAGCAGAACTCATCTTGAAACTTTGTATCCAATAATGATCATAAACTCCTTCTAAAATGTTCTATGACATTCTATATACTACTTTAAACATTTTTTTCATCAATTGACTGGTATGAAATGGCACAGGACTTCTTACGTTATCAAGGTACAAATATATTTTGTTGAGTGTCAACCAGTGTTCTCTCTAATTTTTCAATTCATGTGTGGAATGTGCAGATGTGTGCTACCAGTTTTTGTTTTTTTTTTTGGGGGGGGGGGTATTTTTAAACCATTGACCCTGTTTGATCATTAGGCCACTTTGCAATGCTACTTGTTGGTTATTTGGGCTTTTGGTCTATCGACTGCCAAGATCATCAAGGCTGTCAATGTGTTGAGACTCCTCACCATTACTGAGGATGCGTGCAGCACGTGATTGGTTGTTGTGCAGCTGCACAGCTTAGAGGTAACACTGGTGTCAACACTTACACACTACTGTCATTTTTCCTCATCTAGGTATTGTTTGTATAGCTTTTACAGGTGGTCTTCCTTTCCTGAATATTTCATGGAAACAACTTATGTACATGTGACTTTTCCAAATGGGAATCCCTCCTTATTATATTAAATACTGTTGCCTGGGGCATATGGGCAATTATTTGCCACTGATCTTTATGTTTGTGGATTCTCACCTGTTTCAAGATGCTGCACTTTGCTTACTATAGCTGTTGGTAAGATTTTATTGCAGGTCTCTTTCTAGATGGTCCTGGAGCCCCAAGTTGAACCATATTCTTTTGTTTTCCAATGCCTTTAAGTACAACGGATGCCCCTGCTTTGGAATTTCTAAATCCACAATTTAAACATATATTAATGATCTGTGTTTATGAATATTTTTTATCAAAAAGAGCTGTTCCTAAAAGCAATAAGGCTTTGGTGTTGTCACGCTATATTTGAAATGCTAAAAAATGTCCAAATGTAGTTCTGTTACATGCAGTTCCAAAGATAATTTATATCATCTGTAGTTTTTATGCACCTTGCTAACTGATGTATTCAAAATAATTTTCCTATAACATACTAAACTCTTAATTTGTTATAACATAAATCTGTTAAAACATTTTATAACCATTGTCAAATGCAATGAAATACCTGTGATGTTGTTGAATATAGATGTCTGTATAACAAAGTTTGATCTAGAAATCTAGCACACAACTGATAAAATTGAAAAAAAAAACAATTTTCTCCTGTCTATTATGAAAAAAAAGTTCAATTTATAAATGCTATGTTGTTCTAGGTATTGTTGGGTGCTAGGTAAATTAATAAAGAAATACAGAACACAAAGTGTCATACATCTGTCCCATTGTTGATTTTGTATACCAACATACATATAGTGAGTTTTGAACATATTTAATGGGAAATAGGCCTACTTAAAGTAAATAATACACTATGTAAAAAAATTGCATTTGCTATATTTAAATGTATGTACAAGTTTATAAAAATAGACACTGTTGATTGTTAGACAATTATGACATAGTTGTTACACATCCATATTGATTTATAAAGGTGACGTATAGTTTTCAAAATTCGTTCAACACCCTTTAAGGAAAATGGTGTGACTTGATTTTCTGTTAAGAGAAAGCCTTCCTAAACATTTCCATGTACAGGGTGGTGCAAAAGTCATATGTCATAAGTATTTTGAATAACAAAAAGAAAAAGTAATTGCATTTTTTTTATTCAAATTCCCTATGGGGGACAAATTTTTCTGCTTCTCTGTATGTTGTAAATCAAAGTGTGATATCAGTTGTTTTTATTTCTGTGATACTTTGTTTCAGGGCACTATACACTCCCAGCCAAGATGTGTTGATGCAAAATCAGAAATACCACTCATTTTTATATTAGTTATGACTTAAACACCTTATAGATTTCAAAATTTTCAGCACTAAATTTTCCAATACTATTTTTCACATATGAAGAGTTAGACACCTATATTATCAACCAGTAAAAAAACTGCTAATAAAATATTGTATGCAAATCTATTTTCACCTCACAACTTCATAGGAGACCTTAAAAAATATAGGCAAATTGTTATTTACTATAATTCTCATGGCCTGGTGGTTAGGGCACTCTACTTGTAATCTAAGGGTCATAGGTTTGAATCCCCATTGCCAAAGATACTTCCCTTTCAGCTGTAAGGGCTTTATAATGTGACAGTCAATCCCACTATTTGTTGGTAAAAGAGTAGCCCAAGAGTTGGCAGTGGGTGGTGTTGACTAACTGCCTTCCCTCTATCACTGCTAAATGTTCAAGATAAACATATTCCTTATAGAAAGGAAAGAGTGGCTGTATATAAAAAAAAAAACAGGTTGGCTCACCAAGTGTATAAGGGGTAAAAATGAAAGAAAAGCATCACAAATTTAAATTGACTGATATGATGGGTGATTTAAAAGATCAAGAAAGTTTGTCAAACAGGAAGTTAGGATATCACAAAGGAAGTATGAAAAAAAGGTTGGCTGAAAATGTGAAATTAACAGTTAGGATTTCTTTAGATACATAAAGAGCAAAACAAAATGTTAGGATGGGAGTAGATAGGGCCTTTGAGGGATGATAAAGGAAAGCTTGTATCTGATGATTATGAGATGGCTGGGTTATTAAATTCTGTTTTTTTCTTCAGTTTTTACTAATGAAGATTTATGTAGTATTCCTCATCTTAAACAGTTGATAGATAGAAACAAGGTTATTCAAGATGATTGCATTAATTATGAGCTTGTTAAAAAAAATAATTGTAAGTTTAAAGAATGATAAGGCTTCTGGGCCAGATAGTATTTCCCCAAGGGCTTTGAAAGATGTTAAGGATTGGATATGTGAGCCACTTGCTACTATTTTTTGTAAAATCTTAAATAGTGGGCAGTTGCCAGATGTGGAAGTCACTTGCTACTATTTTTTGTAAAAACCTTAAATAGTGGGAAGTTGCCAGATGTGGAAGTTAGCTAATGTAACTCCTGTTTTCAAGGGAGGTAATAAAAATTGGCTTGTTAGTCTTACATTAGTTGTAGGAAAAGGTTTGGAAAGTCTGATAAAAGAAGCTTTGCAAAATCATCTAACAAATTTTATGATTTTATTGGATAGTCAACATGGTTCCACTAAGGGAAAATCTTGCCTTACAAATTTTTTTTACATTCTTTGAAAAGGTTACTGCTTATGTAGATGAGGGTAAGGATGTAGATTTGGTGTATCTGGATTTTGGAAGAAAAAATTGCCTCTTTAGGTGTGGTGGATAAGGTAGCTAATTGGATAGAAGAGTGGCTGGATAGAAGAAAGCAGAGGGTTGTTATAAATGGAGTTTGGTCAAACTGGATTAATGTCACAAGTGGGGTACCTCAGGGCTCAGTCTTAGGACCATTGTTCTTATTGATTTACATCAGTGAAGGAACAGTCAATAAATTACTTAAATTTGCTTATGATATTAGGGTATTTGGTGTTGCTAGCTGTGATGTGGATGCTGCTGCTTTACAAAAGAATTTAGATCATTTAGTTAGTTGGGTGAATAAATGGTAGGTGGGTTTTAATTATAGTAAATGCAAGATAAAGCATGTGGGTTATCATAATTTGAATTATAAGAATAATTTGGATGGTAATAACCTTAACAGTGTTACAAAAGAATGAGATATTGGTGTAGTGATTGATCAGTCTCTTAAGTCATCCAAGCAGTATCCTGTTGCTAGTGGTAAAGCAAATAGGATTTTAGGTTGTTTCTAGAAGAATATTGAATACAAGTCTAAAGAGATTATAATTTCATTGTATAGGTTATTGGTTAGACCACATTTGGAGTATTGTGTTCAGTCTTGGGCTCCTTACCTTAAGGAGGACATTGAATTGTTGGAAAGAATTCAGAAGATGGTGCCTGGGATGAAAGAGTTTTCATACAAGGAGAGGTTAAGATCTCTGAAATTGTTTTCTCTTTAAAAAAGAAGAATTAGAAGGGATCTGATTGAGGTGTCTAAGATTGTTAAGGGAATTGATAGTAATGATGCATCATCTTTTTTCCTACTTAATAGTGAGAATGATAGAACTAGGGGACACAAATATAAATTTTGGCAAGGTAGGAGTTATCTTTAGCTAAGACTGTTTTATTTTTCTAACAGGTGGTTGGTCTCTAAAACATGTTGCCTTCGGATATCGTTGGTGGCAGTAAATTTAAGCAAGTTTTATGAGAAAGCTTAATAACTATATATATGAATAATAAGGGCTGGCCTTGAGTTTTTATTTTATTTTTTAGTAGTTTTAGTTTAGTTTAGAGGATGGGACAGCCTAGATGGACCAGTAGGTCCCTTGATGTCCCTAACAATTATCTTATGCTATATATATTTAGTGTACTTTGTAGTATTTAGAGTGGATTACAGTGAGTGCAGTAACTTTTCCTAAATGTAGTGAATCAAAGTTAATATTTCACTGCAGAGTACATTTTACAAGTAGAAAGAATTTGAGTATACTGGAATAGACAGCAACTGCCTGTTGTAAAAAAAATGTATAGGATGACATTTTGAAAGTCTTCCATCTTTTGTCTTCAGGTCAGTGTGTGAAAAAAAGAAGAAAATAATGAATGGCAGGAATTTAGTTTAAAAGAAGAGAGAACAACATGAGAGTTGCTGGCTCTTACCAACAGGGGTGTTCAGGAACAATCGTTCTCCTGCAATCCCATGATTATTGATGGAAAGCTGTGAAGGAGGTTGGAGAAGGCATGAGGATCTTGACACTGAAGGACTTCCTTTTCATTGTGTTGACTGTAGTTTAGTTTAGGGAGAGACTAAGGTATATGACCAAAGCATCCAGTTCTAACATGTACTACTTAGTATTTCAGTCTGTTTTAGCCATATTTTATGGTTAAAAGTATCGGTTGTTATGAGAATTAATGAAATATCAAATTTGATTCATATGCTTTTGAGTTGTTTTTGGAAGAAAACCACTGACAGATGGAGGGCCGTTTTCAGGGAGGCTGTCCAAGTCTGAAAATCCAGTTTTATCATTCTAGACTTCTAATCATAGTAATCTTTAAATTTTGAATACAAGGCATTGGGGAAAAATGTAAAGATAATTTTCAAACACCCTGTACAATCCTGTTAAGGGTATATTAAATGATGTATATAACTTTATTCATAACTGTATTTTTTTTACAGATAAAATATCAAACAAAAGTAAATTGCAACACATTTTTATTGTTAAAAAAAAACATTTTACTGAAAGAAAATAACTTCAGTTCTAGAATATTTCAACATAAATGATATCAGTCCTAGTAGTGATAAGGCTCCTACATCCATTCAGTATATTCATGATGTTAAATATGAGATAGTTACTGATGCTGATCTAACATTTTTTTTTCTAAATTGTGTACACAAGAAAACAATGAGAAATGAAGATTTTTGTGAATTTTTTCTTTCATGGTATTTCAATTTTATATAAAATGATATTGAAAAAATAAATTATTCTTTAAACACGCTGCCTAAAATGTAGTTTAACCCATTATTACTAGTACTAGTAAGCTAACTATATATTAGAAAGGTACTTGTATGTTTTATTTTTTACGCCTTTTCCTACATTTGAGTAATTCCATTCTTACAAACAAGAAACTTGGTCAAAACTAAGTTTCTTGTTATTTCTCAACTAAACAGAATAGGATTTGGTAGCTTGTAAAAACCTGCTTTATATTCACTCTCTGTCACCTACTGAATACTTACCCATTTAAGGGAGAAAACCACATACAAGCACTGCTTACATGCCTAACATCTAATGTCTGTGGTTAGTTATTCTTTCTAGCAGTGGGAATTTTTGGAAAGAACGTAAGTAAACTTTGTGTATATCACATTCTGACTATAATACCACAAAATAATGGTCTTTCCTTATTTAACTAACACTTTTTTTTTTTGCTTTTTTCAAAAGTCTAATCACTTAATGCATCATTAATAGCATTATGAAGAGGAAACCTTGTTTGACCATCACAGGTAGCATTCCAATCATCTCTGTTAAGGTTGTATGTCATGACTCCACCAAAACCTTGTTTCCTTGCCCACTTTGCCTAATGAGTAGGGTTGCATTAAAAGAAAGAAAAAGGATATGAAATTACATTTTAAAAATTTTAATACTATCAAAAAATCATACTACAAAACAAAAACGTCATTTGCTAGATTATATACTGAAACATAGTAGAACTGGATGAAAGAGTTAGCTAAATTATATTTCCTGTATTTAACTAAGAGCCTTTTGCAAACATTTTCTTTAAATATTAGTGTTAATAAATGTTATGAAGCTAGCATATGAGGAACATCATTTGGGTTAAAAAGCCTTCAACTTTTGGTCAGCCTCTCAGGAATTTGAGGATTATAGGACTCTAAGCCATTAAAAATGATTGGAATGAGTAGCCACCTTTTTAAGTTCAGTGGTATGGAAACAACAAAACCTGAATGGTTATGAAACATTATAATCTAATATACAGGAAACAGGTACAAGATCAAGAAGGAAGGGATCTGTTCAACATGAGTTTGGGACAGTTCAACATGAAAGAAAAGACCAAGAGATGTGTGAGAGAGAGAATGAAAAAAGAGAGGTGAAAGTAATATACTATCAGTGAGAAACAAAACCTATTTCTAAGTCTACCTCATTGATTATAGTATGTTATAGTATTGTTATGTTTGCATTAACATGAGTCAATTTCTGATATGAATAGGTAAAACCTAAATAAAGTCGATGGACATAAAAAAAAGCAAAGTGTAGGTATAGCATGATTGTAACAAAGTAGAAATAAAAAATTTTACACTTTGGAACTCTGTTATAAGAGTGACAGTCATATCCCACGAGTTTGATAAGAATAGCACAAGAGTTGGTGGTAGCTATTGTTGACTAGCTGTCTTCCTTCTAGTCTACCACAACAAATAGCAAGAGTCTTACAACAAAACCACGAGAAAAGGGTGGACGTGGCTTTGTGATTAGCATGTTAAGTTGCGGAGTGGAAGGTTTGGGCCGCAATATGCAGTCATCTTGCTATTTGGTTAAGATTAGTTGTTTAGGTGGAATTAACCGCCACTGGTTCTTCTCCCCTTTAATCAGCAGTTATAAATTGGAGTAAACCATGTCCAAATTTTGGGAGTCTCTAATCTATTCAGGCCTGCTAGTTAGGGCACTCGACTCGCAATCTGAGGGTCGCAGATTCGAATCCCTGTTACTGAACATGTGACTGTTAGTCCCATTAGTCGTTGGAAAGAGAGTAGCCCAAGAGTTGGCGGTGGGTGGTGTTGACTAACTGCTTTCCCTCTAATCTATCACTGCTAGCGCATATAGCTTTCGTGTAGCTTTGCGGGAAATTCAAAACCAAACGAAACTGATCTGGCCGTTTGTTCCATATGTCGGAAATACTAACATCCAAATTGAAGAAAAACAGTTCACATAGCAATACTCTGCTTTCAACCATTAACTACAAAGCCTTCGTTATTATAGAATAAACTATGAAGAAGACAAACATAAAAAACGAACCAAGTATTGTAAAAATAACTTCAATAAACGATCCAATTGGATACAGTATCTTATATACCACAAGTTATTCTTTTAGAAAAATTTTAATACTTTGATCGACAGAATATTTATCTTGAAATAAATACATTTTGAGTTTATTTCTTAGACAGGTGTTGACCAGCATAAAATACTGTAACCAAATTAAATAATTGTATTAAGATGTAAACATTGCGAGTTCATTAATTCATTGTAAATCGAAGTAACCAACCCCCCTCGCACACACAAAGGGCTAACCTTTAAAGTGACGCTTTTCTCACTTTCGTATGCTATCCACTCATAGCCTTTGAAAGCGTATGGTACGAAGCTGAACTCGTCAAAAACTGTTTGGGCTCCTCCTTTTAAAAAGCTGCAGACCTGTGGGAATACAAAAAGGTATATTAGGAACTCAATAAGACATCGTCAAGGTTTAAAGACCATTATTATAAACTACACAAACATCATATTTATTCATAATGTTAGAAAAACACGTAGGTTCAAGAAGTCTTGACAGAAATGAATAAAAACCATATAACCCGAACTCTTTAGAAAGGTGGACCTTTCTTCTTCAGGGGTAAACTGGGAATCAATATTTATAATATACATAAGTACATATTATATTAGTTATTATACACTACGTAGTATCAGTACGACATCGTTAAGACTATAACACCGCTGTCATAAACTACATAAATATCT